GCATGGAATTGAGAGGTTGGCAAAAGTGCCTATCAAAGGCAGTCTGTCATCAGGTTCATAGCTCCTGCCACATGACAAGCAACAAGACAAAACTGACGTGAATGAGCGCAGAAGAATAAGTCCAATACCTGAAAGCAAAGAGTTCTGGAATGGGTGCCCTCTTGATTGTTGATGTAAGAAACAGTCATGGAACTGTCAGAGTGGTACACGAACAAATAATTCACCAGTAGGAGCAGGAAATGGGGACATGCTCGATGAACAGCAAGAAGTCCAAACATATTGATGTGGAGTGAACACTCATCCTGCATACAAACACCATAAGTCATGTCATCATTCAGAGAAGTGCCCCAACATGAAGGGGAAGAATCAGAATCCACTGGAGGATGTGCATGCCTCAAAGGAATAAGGAATAACTGGGAAGCCAGAGTCCCCAGAAGCAAAAAATCCTCTTGCACAGGATGAAAAGGAGAAGCATAAATTTTGGTGACCAAATACTCCATAGCTTGCAGCCAAAGTGAGTAGGCTGAGACAAGAATTGAAGAATGTGTATTAAATGTTGAGTAGGCATTAGAAAAAACTTGGATATCTTGACTAGCCACCCCAACCAAGCAGCCTCTAGTATAAGAGAGATGTGAGAAGAGGATACCTCGTGGGAATGGGCTAATTTCAATCCCCAGCCATAAAAGTAGTGAGAAAAGGTCCCCATGACTCAATTGAATATATGAGGGGCTGACACTATGTTAAGGGAAAGGCACAGAATTGGAAGATGCAATTGCAATGGACAAATGATAGAAAGCATCTGAAGGAAGGGACAATCAGAATATGTCCAACACATCGACTCTGATAATTCACAGCCCAGATGAAAAGTACCACTGGAGAGAAAAGAAATTCTCTATCTGAAATCGTGGAACAACCAGAAATTGGTTGAGAGACGATAGGTTGACTACTGGACACCAGTCCCCGATATTCTTGGGAACCACAATTAGAGAAAAGCAAAACCCCAGAGAAGGGTCATATACCCTCTCCATGGCATGTTATGTCAAAATATCTAATACTACATTCTCAAGACACTGAATATAGATTGGGTTTGAGGGAGGAGAAAAGGAAATGGAAAGAGAAGAGGGGGGAGAAGAGAAGCACCATAGGTGAGAACTTAAAAACACCATCTGTTTATAGAGAAGAGTGACCAAAGGTTTGCAAACCAAGATGGACAGGCACCCACTGGGCTTGGCCCAATAACACAGTCGCAGGTGAAGCATGTGACAAACCTTATGGCAGGTAGTAGGAGGACAGGAAGAAGGAAAAGGCCTGGAAGGTGGAATAAAACGATTAGGAGCAGACTGAACTGGTAGTAGACAGGAGTGAAAGGGCAAGATTGTAAAAGACAAGAAACCAGGAAAGATAAACAGTAGTGGTGCAAGGCTGCTTTGGCTCTGGACTCCAGTGAATCAGTACCACCAACAAAGACATCAGACCAAAGAAAGAGAGACTGCTGGAGATCAAGTAAATACGAAGTATGTAGTCACATGTTGGTAAAGAGTATATCCCACCCAGCAGAGGAACCAGTGAACAGGGAAAGAGCAAAAGTAATACAGGCCATCACAGTAAAAAGAAGGGAATGAACCTCCCCTGAAAACCCTTCTAAAGTACAATGAAGTACCTCAGACATGAGGTATAAGAAGGATAGGTAGTGTCAGAGGGTGGTGAGGAAAAGACAAAGATACAAAAACTGGTTACTTGAGAGTGAATAAGAAGACAAGGAGTCTACTCCCCAAGCAGATAATAGAGGTTCCAAAGACTGAGAACCTAGAAAGGGAAAAGAAGAACAGCTGTAAACTAGGACATGGGAATCAAGAAGGCAAAGAAGAAGAGTCACATGGATACAGATACAAAGTTATTCAAGAAAGGAATCAGTATGAATCTAAATGAGCAAGCAAGGAAACATTATATAACCACAAGGATTAGAATCATGGAGCAAAGAATGTAAGGAATCATGAGACACAAGCAAAAGAGAAAGAAAGAAACATACTTGAGAAATAAAGTCCTGAAACAGTGTGGATGGTTGAGGTTCTTCCTCAGTCAGTAGGGGGGGGGAGCAAATCCAGGTGGAAGGAATACACAATCAAATTCATCTTCCTCTTGTTTAACCTTAAATTGAGAAGTAAAGACCTCAGTCGAACGGATGGAAATAGAAGGCCCAGCATGTATGATGAATCTCACAACACAATAGCAGTAACATTCTCCATAGTCAACAAGCTTCTCAAAGCCACAGTAGAAAATAGAGCATGTGTTTGTAACATTACCACCCACACAGGTCAATGTTGAAGTCACTGTCACTTGAGAATTCATGATAAAATTTAAAGCTTTTGAAACCAAAGCTAAACAAAACGAAAATCAAAGTTTTGTTAACAAATAGAAATCTCACTAAATTTAACTCAGACAAAAAATTTGAACACATCTGTCCAATGCAATGCTGAGGAAAAGAATTAAGTTGAGTGCAAATGCATAGGAGTTACTGCACATGGAGGTTGTGTCACCCTCCTGCTGGTAGAGGGCTATTGTCACCAGTGCAGTTCACAATAAATATGTGAATTTAGGTAGGAGTTAGCTCTAGGCTAGTGGCATGCAAATCTCACAAGCAGACATGAAAGGGAAGTAGCACTTTTGTGTGAGAAGGTAGATTATCCTCTCTGAATAACTAATTTTACAAGAAAATTTAACATTTTAATGAGTTACATATTATAATTTCAGATTAGTTAGTATTTTGTGCCATTACATAACAGTAAGTTGTCATCTTTATAACATATGTCAGTTTACTGACAACACTAAAGTTTAACATTAGGTTACAACTTTATTAAATATATTTTTAATACAAAATGGTATATTTTTGTTATTTGCTTTGATTATCATCACCAATATTCAGAACTTCATCTACTGTATAATGCACTAAAACAATGGGAAACCCAAGCTGTTATTTTTACACAATGTGTTACATATGCTCTGGCCATCATGGGTATCAAAATCCAATTTTTGGTGTTATTAACCCTCAGACTTTCCAAAGAAAGGGGAGAAGTTAAAATTCATTTGAAAATGAATGACAATGAAATGTGGGATGATGGTGTCAAAAATAACTGTGTGCAGAAATAAGAACTAATTGCAAACATGATTTTTGTTTACTATTTAGTAGTATTTTATTGTTACAATGAATTATGAATAAATATATTTTTGCATCACCTCTATTTTGGTCTGTTGTACTTTGAGTATAAAATTTTTTTTATGTGAATAGTTTATTTTTAGAAACATTATTATAGAAACACTAATAATGTATTCAGAAATTTAATTAATGTGTTTATCTGTACAATAATCATCTGTGAGAAATACGAAATAATTGAAATGAACTCCAGCTAATATTATAAACAACTTTTAATACAACATTAGCTTTAAACACAATTAACAAATTTACAATGCACTTAATTCAACAGAGATGCTCACAACAGATTTGTAGCTCTTACACGTTTCTGTATTTTTATTAGTGATCTGGACTAGAGTAAAATGTCACCTCCATATCTAGACTATACCACTCAAAGTTTTTGGATAGAAAGATATACATAACTTTTGTACAAGAAGATTGTGCTGCTGCCTTATTAACCATGCCATAATACAATTACTGTACCAAATATGCAGAGAAAGAAAATCTTTCAGAAAACAATATAACAAAATTAACTTGAAACGTTTATTTCTTAGCTCTCTAAATAATCATGATTTGAAGCTTGAGCAAATGAATGAAATGTAAAGAAATTTATTATTATTCTAGTACCTGACAGATAAACATTATGAATGACCATCCATAGTTCAGAAGAGATGGTTGTCATTCCACACTTTAAGTTAGAGGTAGGTAGATAACTAGGATTATGGCCACACATATCTGTGTATGTATATTTATATACACGTCTATGTGGGTGTAACTGTGTGTGTGTGTGT